CTTTAAAACAGCTGACAAATAGCTATCAGATTGTCTTCCTTTAGCTAAAATGACCTAAAAATCCCAATTACAGTGTTTCTGGTGGGCAATAAATGTTCATATCTGTTGTTAAAGAAATTCCTCTTACCTGCTCTGTAGCTGTAGGGCAGTAGAAGACTAATAAAACAGTTGTACAGATGTTTATTGACAATCCAATGATGGTGATGAGATTTGGGGCAATCCAGGAGGGCACTCTTCCAACTAGCCATTCCCAATACCCTTGCATTAAGGGCTCAAGCAGGGACCGTCCAGCACTCTGGTATCTGTGTTCTTCTAGCCGCTTAAGCTGGTGTCTTGACAATGGTGGTGTAGGTAACTGAAACAACTTATTTAATACACACCCTGGAGTACTCATATGCCCGAAGCCCAGGGGGGACTCCGGGTGAGAATCTCCACATCGTTTCCTCGTTGATCGATGCCCACTCATGGATCTTGGCTTTCTTTAATTTGGAGAGAATAATTTATCCTGTTTTACAGCTTTTGGTGGATAGTCTTTACCTGGAAAAAAAAAAGATACATTTGTCAGCCACTATTTATATCAATGCCAGTAAATTAAAAAAAAAATCAAACTGATACTAGAGTAATACATATTAAGCAAGGATTAGAAAATCAGCGGTCTGTTTTTAGTTCTAATTCTTATTGATGGTACAAGCCAAAGAAGTCATATAACCTCACCTTTAAATGAAAAACATTAAGAAATGTTAATAGTAATGTTTCCTGTTACCTTATAGTTTGACTTCAAAGCTCATGCTTTTTTTCCCCCATCTCATCAATTATTGCTTTCAGTAGTATAAATCGAACAAATCTTAGAAATGACCTAATCATTCCACATATACGGAAAATGAGGTCCAAAAACATGCCCAAAGACAGCTAGCAAATTAGTGTTAATACTGGAGGAATGACTTGAATAGAATGGGTCTTAAACCAGATTTTTATTCAATGCTAGTAGTTAATATTTATTAAACACTTACTATGTACTAAACACTTTAAGCAAGTTTTATATATTAACTCATTTAATCCCCACAATAACCACAGAAGGTAAGGACTATTAATTATCCCCATTTTTACAGAAAATGAAACTAAGGCACAAGGAGGCTAATTAACTTGTCCAAACTGGGTTCAAATAAACACAGGGCTTTTGTTTAAATTAAAAGTTAAACTTTTTAGTGAAAGGGATATAGATGATATGCCAGGATGGGATAAACAACAATGAAAAAAAATTAATTTTAAGAGGGCAGTATTTACATGTTAGCAGTGTGACCTGATGAACTGTGGTAGTAAGAAAAAATTGGAAGTGCATTAAATGATGATTGTTCATAAAGACCCTTAAATTTAAATCCCTGAAGTGCTTGCACTTGACTTAGAAAAGATTAGCAGTAACATCTTATCCTAAGCTATTAATCAATGTAAGAATATAATGACAAGTGGAGAACACTTAAAAATTAGTATGGCGACATCAAAGGTTTGAAGTGGTAGGCCTGGAGTAGGGTGGTAAAAATGGGAATATGAAAGACAGTCAAATGTGTAAGTAATTTCTACTCAGAAGGAAGAATCAAGAGGAAGTGCTTAGGAATTAGACATGAGAGGTGAAGAGGCAGAAGAAAAAAAGGAACCAACAGTCAGAGGCTAGTGGTACTACCGTCAAAAGGAGAGTCTGGAAGGAAAAATCGGTTTATTTTCCTTTTTAGAGGGTGCAGGATGAGAGGGGATCTCGGGTGAGAGCAGGAAAGCTATACATGCAGCTTTTAAGTAGAGATGTTTTAGACAAAATCAAATGACTGGTGTTTAGGTACGAGATCAAAATTTCAAGTTTTTCAACTTAAAAGCTAAAGGCTAGTTAAAGATTAGAAAGTAGAAAATTTCTTAAACGGATTGAGTATAAAGAGAAAAGGAAAAGAATAAAGACCCTTATGGGAAACTCACGGTTAGTTGAGTAGGAGGAAGAGAAGCCATAAAAAGATTTTAAAAAGGAAAGAAATAAAAAGAAATAATCTTAATGGAACTAAAAGGGTAGAGGTGCTGAACCAAGATACGTGTACTTTGATCTTCTGGCTGAAAGTTATCCAGAAGGAAATATGAACTTCCCAGAAATGCTGCACTATGGGAATACAGAATGTAATACAGAATCAAGAACATCTCAACAATGGACCTAGTATCAAAACATACTCCGGGTTTCTCTCTATTCCCATAAACAACAAATTCCAAAATTTCAATGTCACTAACGATCTAAAGGGGCATCCCAAATCTCAGCCAATCATGTATCTTAATAACTGGTTTAGAAAATAGTTACTGTGGTCATTAACGGACTTAAATAAATTTTCAAAAGTCTCAAAAGAATCATCAGTGCCACTATTTAACTAACAAAAGTGCTCTGAAATAAAAATATTGGAATAATTTTCAAACCAAAGCAAATTAAAGCTAATTTCCAACTACTTCAAAGAATTCTTCCACACACCCAACTGGATCACAAAGTACTTGATTAAAACTGTTTTAAAGCAATATTTATATAACGTCAAACAACAAAATCATTTTAGAAGAAATGAGAGTGATAACCACCAAAATAATGTTACTAACATGAAGCAGCCAAATTTTCCAAAGTCAAATAGAATAATGTATTTTCCTATTCGGTGAGCTATAATCAATCAGCTCTTATGTAATTCCACTTAAAATGGGAATAAAAAGTTGAGCCAACTCTATTTATATTTTATTATTGTAGTGTTCCATTCTCCTATACTTTAAAAAAGATAAAGTGACATATTGAGGATGCTGGCCTGCTTTTGGCACTAAACAAGTACAAGCAACTGATCCTAATGGTTTTAAGTTTGAGCATTTGGCAGGACTACATGATAAGCTGATACTTCCTTCTAAATGTTTTCCCCTCTCTAACCTAGATTTTTTTTCTCCTTCTATTTCTCTTTTAGAAAAATCTACGTTTTTACAGACCTTTCTAGATCTAGTCATTATATAATTCATATATGGAAAAAAAGAGTATTTCAATTTGGCAACATTGTCTCTGTGAACCTTATTAGCAACCAGATTGCAAAGAAAAATGCAGACACATACAGGCCCTGACATATAGCTACCTACTTCACTTTCAACACATACAGGTAGCCACCTTGCTGTCACTGCCACTGCCACAGATCCATCTCCACTCTTCCTTCCTCCCGTCACACCTGAGACCAGGAGGCTACTGCCATGAAAACCATCTCAGGAAAAAGACAGGAGTTTCTGAATTTCAGCATGTGAAAAGCAAGCATATTCAAGGGAGCAGGACAGTGTAGGCTGCTACAATAGGAGATCAGATTCTATGGAGAGAAAAGGAAAAAGGATGTGAGGTGAGAATATGGAAAGGAGGTAAAAACATCACAAAAATTATTTTAACCACTTGAGATTTTCATCTAGAGTCAAGCCGATGCCCAAAAAGTGGAGGGGGTAATATCCTTTTCTACCCACACTACAAGGAACTAAAAAATTAAAATTATTGCTGGCTAGCCTACAAACCTAGGCAGCAGTCCCAAGTTTTTATAAGAAAATGGATTCCAAGTTCCAAATGCATTCAGCCAATATCTGAGTGCAGTAAGCAAGACAGACATGGTCCCAGCTCCCATGTCCAATGGGAAAATAACTAAAAACAGGTAAACAAGCAAATAACATTACACACTGTGATGGGTACTATGAGGAAAACAAGATGTGGAGCCAGGAAACAGTTGAGGGTGCAGATTTTAGATAAGGTTGTTGAAGTCCACGGAGAAGAAGCACTTATTCCAAATTCAGAGGAAGAGAAGGAGGTTGCCATTTCAAGAGCAAGAACAGTCCCAGAGAACAGGCTCTGAATAAGAGTGATCTTGTCTCTCACTCAGGGACCTCTGCAATTACTATGGCTGGAGTAGTAAAACAGATGAAAGGGTGAGATAAAATAAAATCTGAAAAGCCAGACAATGCAAAGGTTCATAGACCTTGGCAAGGAGTTGAGATTTTATTTGGATGTTATGGAAAGTCATCAATGAGCTTATCAAGAAACCAAGAATTTTTTGGCACAGCCTATTTGTTAAGTGAGGATATATTTTCATAAATCATAATAGTAAAAGTGAGTACTTAAAACAGTTAAAAATTCTCATCACCCGGAATTCAGTTTATGATAATACTGATTACTGTCCTATAGTTATTGGAAGCTTTCCACTTGTAATCAGCAAATTTCCCTCCTCTGCTATATAACCTGATCGAATGTGATGCTCCTTTCATAGCACTTTACCACATTTTGAATGTTTTTTGTTAGTTGCTGATGTTTTCTGGTCTTTTCCCCACACTGGTATGTAAGACACAGGAGTGCAGGAGCCATGTCTATCTTAACATTCTTTTCCCAGAATCTCATACCAAACCTAACACTAAGTAGGTAATCAGCACTTATTCGTGGAACAGTGAACAAATGTGATTTATCTAATATTTAATGAGCACCTAGTGGTTCTAGACTCTGAGGAAACAGAAAGATTGAAATTTACCATCCATGCCCTCAAGCTCAAAGTAGGGGCAGGGAGTCTTGTAAACAGCTGTTATACTGTGAACAAACTGTTGGGGGAGTTCAGAGGAGGGGGCAGAGACGGTCTAACAAAATTCTTCTTCGTGCAGGCATGAATATTTATGCGGAACCCAACAAAGGTACAAAAATAAAACCAGAGATATTAAATGAATACCTTTACTAAAATTATACACAATTTGTAGACCTTAAATCTATGATGCAGAACGTCTGAGCATCTGATGCAGAACAGCAGCTGAGCATAATAGCATGCTGCCTACATGATTCCTGTGTTCTGCACTGGGGAACATCTGACAAGTATCACACTCAACAAGGCATCTCCAACTGCTGAGCAGAGCATAAGGTAAGCTTACACAATATCCAACCTGTAGAAGGAAATTCCAGAATTCCCATCCCCCATGTCTAAGGGTGCCAAGTTTTGAGCTGCATTGATTCAGCAGTATGTTGGCCGTCCTTTCACAGGAACTGGTGACTACACAGCTTTTCCCACTTTCACAGCTCCACTAAAGGAAAATACTAATGGCCAACACTATTTGGGAGGCAGAGCAAATTATAAAAAGTTTAACAAAAACAAACAACTAATAGGATCACAGGATTACATTCAGCATTATTTAACAAGTGACACAGAACAAGTTAGCAAAAACAAAAGCCTTTTCAGCAGACTTGGAAGCTAAAACAGCACTGTGTAATAAAATTTAGATCTGTTTGTTGAAGTGAAATCTTGTATTTCTTAAAAAAAAGGAAATAACTTCCTCCAGGGGGAGGAAAAAAAAAGAAGAGCCAAAGCCTGGCATTTGATGGATTATTTTCCTATTTCCTTAAAAGAGACAGCACAGCACGACTCTCAAAAGAGTATCACCATCACTTTTAGTTATCTTTTAAGAACAAGTATACTGCTTCCTAGAAAACAAATTGACTATGCTATAAAACTTAACTGGGGTTATAAAACAAATTTAGAGTTAAACAGCAAACATTTAATAGTGTTTATAATGTAAATTTTAAGAGACTGGGTGTGGGAAAGGAAGAATGAATTTATGAAATCATAGTTGTAAATATTCAATAATAACATAATAACTGGCCAACAAATAAAGACACCTCTGTTGGAACAGGTTAATACCAGAGGCAAATTTATCTAATTTATTTCTTAAATGGAAGAATTGTAAAAACAAGTTGTACAAGTAGCTTTGTGCTCAGCACAAAACGAGTATGAAGCAAAATGCTTTTAGAATTTCAGTCTCTGGAATGTTATGTGAACGCCAAAGGTACTAAAGTACTTATGCTCTAAATGCCTTTACCAACCTTACTTGTGTTGTCAATTCAATACCCTCACTGAAAATACTCCTACTAGTTCAAGAGCAGAAACTGAACCTTTTTTTCTTGGTCCACATACAAAGACAAAACAGTAATATTTGTTTAAATATAACTATCAATTTGCCTACTATCACAACATGGATTCATTAATGAACTAAAAGACTTCAAGCAAAATTACATATTAATGCCAGTGATGCAAAACGGCAAAACGACACAAAATGGCCAAGCACTGGATTGGAGAAGACAAGTGAAATAGACCTCATTCATCCAGTGTTCTTGGGAACATCGGCAAAGACTAGCAACTCTTCTGTCCCTTCTCCTTCCAAGAACACTGCTGGAATAAACCCTAGCTGGCAATCTCAGAGCTTGTCAATATACGCTGAAATTTCTGGAAAACTTGCTGACCAAGAAGTGTGGCCCAGCCACGAAACACCAGCACCTTATTCCAAAGGGAGGGCAAACCCGGCACAGGATCCAACTCGATTTGTGGACTTAGCAGCACCCAAGCAGGAGGGTGTGGACCTGAAAGGCAAGGTCGGTTCCGCACGGACAGCGCCCCCAGCCCTCGGCCCGCCCAGCCCCGGCCGCCGAGATTCTCCTCTCCTCGCATAGCAGGCCCCGGGCTCTCGCGCTGGCGATTCGCCGCCTCAGTCTCTCCATCCGCAGCCAGAGGGGCAGTCGCCCCTCGCCCTCCCCACATCCCCGCGCGCGAGGCTCCCCCGCGCGAGGCAGGGCTGCGTTCCCCCCGCGCGAGTCCATACACAGCTATATTCCAATACCCCATCCCGAGAGCTTGCAGCCCTCTCTCCACCCCTCGTGAGAGTCGTGTCCTCCGACACGTCCTTTACACCCTGGCCATATCCCCAAGACAAGACCGAGCCCGGCAGCCTTACCCTGGCCCCCAAAAGCACACACCTAGTAATACCTCCGACTCCAGCCGACTGGGTGACTCTGATCCGCGGCAGCACGTTCACGACACTTTCGCGATTGCCGTAAAGGGATACAGGGTCGGAACTGGTGGTGGCGGGAGCGCGCCCCTCCGGGCGGTGAGCGCGCCCCGGGACCGGCCCGGCTGCTCGGGAGCGCGCCCTGGGCTCCGCCCATCTCAGTCCGGCCGGCAGGCTCCGGACCCGGCGGCCAGTACTGGCTGGGTCGTCCAAGCAAGGTAGGCCAAAACAGGGGATGAGGACAGGCTCAGCTTCCACTAGGGCATGTGTGTCAGAGGGTGGGATCGGGTGGGTCGGGGAGGCGGATGCTGCTGGGAGCCTTGACCTCCGTGGCGGGCGTGAGAGTCGCGTGCGGACTCGCCCTGCCTCCAGGGACTACCGTACTCGACGCGCGGGAGAGGGACCGGGTGCTGGCTGGAGCCGCGGGCGGGCTCCCGGGGACCCGGGATGGGGCGGGAGCGGGTGCAGGCTGGGCTCAGGTCTCTGCGCCTCACCTTTCCGTCCAGGTCCTTGGTCTTCCCCACTGAACCCCAATCCGCATGCCCCTAGCCGGGCCAAGCTCCGCCTCCTGCATCATTTCCCAGCCCCAGGCAAAGCGTAGCCGAGATCTTCGTCCAAGAGCTTTGCGCCTCCGGAATAAAGCAGCGGTGGGTGTAAATAATTCCTTGGTTTTATTTCTTTTAAGCGGTTGCAAAGAACCTTCGCCCCAATTCCACAACAATCTGCGGTTAAGTATACGTACCCTTTATCACTGCTGGGCTCAGATTCCTTGTTGTGGGGCGGAGGTGGGGGATGGCGGGGGCGGAAGGAAGATTTGAAATTGCGATCCGTGTGACCTTGTTTTTACGCGAAGCTCAAATCTACTACACCCAATTCTATCGCGGGGTGCCCAACACGGAAAGATAAATGGCTCGTCCTTTGTGTCCTCAACCATGCTTACATTAGGATACGTTTGCGAAACGCTACATTTTTCCAGTTCCCCCAAAGTTAAATTTGTAAATCAGTACGCAAATACAGCTGTAATTTGCATTGCATCTTCGGATTCTCCACCGTTTCTCTCCTTGTAACATTTCATCCAGTTTACAAAAAAGCGCCTTAATCTTCTAGACTTTAGTTTTTAATCATACGAGAATATTACATTTGTTAGAAGGCCAAGTTACAGTTAAGAAAAATAACCATTTTCTATTATGCTTTGCTTTGGGCCTGATGATTCTGTGTACCGCTAAAAGGAGCTTAGGGCTTTCTCTCTTCACTTGGACTGTTTATTCTTATTGTTTCTAAGCAGTAACCACTTAGAGGAGACAGCATAAGAAATTCGTCTTTTTACCAGTGGCACTTCAATATTTGTGAAGTTTACAAATTGTAGCTGCAGTTCTGATTCATGGATCTTCAAGGAGAGCAGAGAAGATAGGTGAGAGATGCAAGAACATTTTGTTAAACCCTCTCACTGCTATGCGAAGCTTATTCCTGCATATTTTCAAGTATCTTGAAAGTTTTCTTAAATTATAAACCGTTAAAATTAATTTTGCCTGGTTGGCAGTTAGCCAGCGGTGCTTCCAGCTTTCCAGTGATAACGACGCATAGGTAAGTAGTCTGCCCCACCTAGTTGGAGCGCTTAGGTTTCTCAGTAGTTATTAGCAAACTGGTAAACCATTTCAATCCCTGCTCCTTCTCTAAAATGTCAGTTCAGATAACCAGAACCCTTAAAACTTAAGGAAATAGGAATCCAAAATGATTCATATATACTAAGAATTAAGTGTTGTCGTTCCCCATCCCTGTGGCTAGTGGTGGTTGTGCAGAATTGATACATCACCTATCATTTTTATACTACATGCCCACTCTGTTCTGTTGTAAGGAACAGCCTTCTGAGATGGCTACTTTCAGGATACCGTAACTCAGAGAAGCTGAGTAACTTGCCTGAAATCATACAGCTGGGACATGAAAAGCTAGAATTTGCACTTAGATAAATCTGACCTCACAGCTGTGTTCTTTCCATTGCATCACAGGGACTAGTCTGTGCTTTATTTTGCTTAATATTAAGTTATCAGCCTTCCCTCATTATTGTCTTTCCTTCTGTGTTTTTCATTTTATTTTATCCTTTTTGAGATAAGGGAAAAGTGTCTAATGGGAGAAAGAATAAGAAAATTGATACCTCAGATTTAAAATATTAATTCTAGATGGTACAAATCATTATAAAATACATGAGTATCAACTACTTAAAGAAAAAATTAATAATGCTATAGAATAGTGTTCTGCCTACTGTGTTGGTGCATTGAATTGAAATTTTACATGTTTAAGAGCATCTGGGTCAAAACAACCTCTATTTTTTTGTATGTGGATTTCACGATTTTCAAAAGGTAAAGGTTTGGGCAGATTTTAAGACTGATATTTTGTGAACTTGTAAACAGGTAATTCATCTTTCACATTCTAAAAGAGGAACAAACATTTATTGACCACCTGTGAGAGTATCTTATGTATGTTATCTCATTTAGTTCTTGAAAAAAAACCTCTCTGAAGCGAGTATTATTTTAGCCCATAAACAGTAAATACTAAAAGCTACAAGTATCACCAATGTGTTTAGGTTCTTTACTTGTGCTATTGCAGCGTAATCCCTGCAATAATTATCCGGCACAGCCCAACTTTCCTACAATAATGGAAATGTTCTGTATTTTCACCATCTTAAATAGTAGCCACTTGACACTTGTGGCTTTTGAGCACTTGAAATGTGTCTAGTGCAACTGAGGAACTGAAATTAAAATTTTTTTTATTTTAATCAATTGAAATTTTAATTTCAACAGCCACATATGGCTAGTGGTAACTGTATTGGGCAGCCAAATACAGTCAAAATATCCCCATTTTCCAAAGGAGAAACTAATTCAGAAAAATTAATGATGCTTGCCTAAGTTCACACAATTTTATTTTAAAAAAAGTTTTTGAGCAGAAAAACATTTTAGGAATGTTAATTTGGCAGTGCATATAGAATGGATGGAGGGGAAGAGAAAAAGCAGACCAAAAGAGTTGAGAATCTGACCTAAGTGGTTACACTGGTAAACTACAAGGAAGAATGGTTGCAAATGGCTGGAGGTAGAATTGTCATCACCTAGTGACAACACGTGAGGGCTTTGGAAGAGAGAACCTAAAGGTACTTTGAGGCCTTAGAATCTGGATGGCCTGGAAAAATGGTAATACATACAGATCTTCCTCCACCTTTGATGGGGTTACATCCCAATAAACCCATTGTAAGCTGAAAATATCCGAAGTCAATAATGCATTAATACGTATAACCTACTGAAATATCGTACGTAGCTTAACTTAACCTACCATAAACTTGCTGAAACACTTGTATTAGTCTGCAGTTGGGCAAAATCATCTAACACAAAGCCCATTTTATAATGAAGTATTGAATTCTCATGTAATTTATTGACTACTGTACTGAAAATGAAAAACAGAGTGCTTGTGTGGGTACAGATGGTGATAAGGGAATCGGCTGTTCACCCTGGATGGTGTGGCTGACTGGGAGCTGTGGCTTGCTGCTGTTTCACAAGAGTATCATGCTGCACATCACGAGCCCAGGAAAAGATCAAAACTCGAGTGTGATGTCTAATGAATGCTTATTGCTTTTGCACCATAATAAAGTGGAAAAATTTTTAAGATGAACTATATCGTAAGTTGGGGGTGGCCGGTATTGTGTACTGAAATAGGAAAATCATAAACCTTTTGAGGGCTTAAAGGGATTTGATTTTGGCTGTTTGTTCATTAAAAAAAAAAAACTTACTGAGTAATTTCTATGAGCAAGGCCCTCTTCTCTGCTTGGGTAGTAAAGTGGAGTCCCACATCAAGGATTTTATCCATGTCAGACACCCAGATTTTTATACCATAAAAGATAATGAGCTGTAAGAGATGTGCAAATAAAGTGTTCTCAGAGGAAAGGGTGCTTAATTCCAGATTTGAAGGGATTAGGAAAGGTTGTGAGTAGAAGATGGTATTTCAGCTCCAGTTTGAAGAGTAAGAAGGATTTGGACATGCAAAAGCGATTAAAGGAGGAGGTTATGCTTCTAGCCATGGGTGGACGAAACGTTTTAAAAATCTCCTTTGCTAAAACACCCAAATGCTTAATAAATTACAGTAGCCTCTTAAATGCATAGCAGTTCGTGAAGGAAAGAAAGGGAAATTCCTAAGCCTAGAAAGTCAAAGAGAGCTGAAGCCAGAGTGGTAAACCAGCAGTGTGTCTCTTTGGGGGTGCTTTTGGCTAGCAGCAGAAATAAAGTACAATTAAGGATGAATGATAGGCTCCCCGTGCTCCCCACCCAAAGTAGAGAGATGGAACTCATAGCCCTTGACCTCCCAGGTGTATGCCTCCAAGGGACACCATTCGCGTGATAGTTTGTGTGGATGATGCCCATGTGTCGGGATATCTTTTTTTCATAAAAAGTAAAATGTAGTTATTTTTACTTGAAATTGTGCAGCTCAGCTCAGGGCCTTGGAACCACCTCTCTCCAGTTCAGCCAGGACCCTCAAAAATCTGTACACTCAGTGAAAGGTGGGCTAGAAAGAATACTGCCTTCCTGACACAGGGGGGTCACAAAGAAATGTATTCGTTTTCACCACAGCTCCGGGTGGGGAAATAAAGATAACCACATAAGAACTTGAAACTATAGGGTCTGGCATTACTCAGCTTCAAGGTTCAAATTTACGTATCTAAGTGGTCTAAAAAAATAAGGAAGCCAAGAAATTAAAGTTGGCCCAGGTTAGTGATGTGCCACAGTGCCTGGCAAAAATACAGACTGACTCTCCCTGCAATGATTTATCCTTAATCTAAGCTGTTTAGAATACTCCCAGTTAAGATCATCCAGACAGGGGCTCATAGTCAAAAACGAAAAAAACACATGCGCAAGGGTTGGCAGAACCGACAAATATGAAACTAGACTCCTTAAGATTATAGATTTGAATTGATCAGAAACAAAATAACATTTAAAGAGATGAAAGGAGAGACGTGAAAGATTTTGGAAGTTATTCGAAATTTATAGAAATTGAGAATTATTCGGGAAACTTACACTAGAATATTAAGGACTGATCTGGGAAAAAGAACAGAAAAGAGGAGATTGTGATAATTGAGACAGGAAGTTACTCAAAGCAAGTATATAATGGTGACTTCAGGGAGAAAGGAAAAGAAACTTACGTAGCACAAGTTAAATGTACATATTTAGCAACAAGTCAGATGATCTGAGTAAGTGACAAGTACAAATCAAAAGTGGCTGAGATGACATTATTTGGAAGGTCAGTCTGGGATGAGGAAGCTGAGCACATTGGAGGATCTTGGAAATCAGAGTTGTAAGTTTTTACAAAGCTCACAGGAAATGCTAAATTTCAGTCCATCAAACTGTAAGAAGATACTCCAAACATGAAATTATTTTCACATGTGTCGGAGTAATTTCTTAATATTTGAAAGTGCCTCTGTATTTTTCTTTTAATTTAATGTATGAAGATACATTGATGTTTTCTAATTCATATTATTGACCACTTATTACTTACCAACATCCAGACAAAACATCGTGGACAAAGGCATGCCAGAAGGCATGACACATTTGAGGAATTTTGAAATTTTTGAACACATTTGAAAGAAATTTTCTGTGGCAACATAGCATAGTGATTGGTATTAGAATGGAACTGCCTGAGTTTGAATCATGTCTACTGCAGCCCTCTGAACTTGGGCAATTCTTGTATCCTCTAAATTCTGTAGTGAGGAGTAAATGAGATCATGTATTTAAGGTGCTTAGTAGTCTTGCTGACATATGGTAGTTTGCTTTTATAATGAGGATGAAGATGATAATAGCGAAATCAAATAACTGAGATCAAAGAAGTGGCCAGAGACGAATGTAGAAACGTCAGTAGAGATTAGACAGTAAAAGGACCTTATAGACCGTGTTAAGGAGGAAAGACAGCTTATAAGGGCCTAGGGGAGGCGCTCAGAGATTCTTCAAAGGAGAATAAAATGGTCAGATTGGTATTTCAGGGTAAGAAGGCTCATTCCAATTTAAGAATGAAATCTAGATTGCCTGTGGTCCAGACTAGGAGAGGACCATTTAGGAAGTTTTTATAATCTAGTTGGGAAGTGATGGTGGTTTAGGTAGGGTACTGGCAGTAAAGATGGAGAGAAGGGTTAGATATGAAGAAATTTAGGAGGTGGAATAAACAGCCTTTGGTGTACTTGATTATGTGTAGAAGGACAGGGGAGAAAAAATTTCTGGATACAAGAAGTGGGTGAATCTTGTTTCCATTTACTAAGAAATTGAAAGAGAGCCAGTGTTAGTAGATGGTGCTGGGCGGATCAGAAGTGAAGCAGCTGAGGGTGAGAAATGTACAAGGTTGTGGGACGGGGTGGCTGAAGTAGAATAGGTAACATACTCGTGATTAATCTTTACTAATTTGTTTGTTTCTGCTTCAGAAGACCTGTTTGAGATGTGGTGGTTTCAGCAAGGCCTCAGTTTCCTTCCTTCAGCCCTTGTCATTTGGACAGCTGCTGCTTTCATATTTTCATACATCACTGCCATAGAACTCCACCACGTTGACCCTGTTTTGCCTTATATCAGGTTAGTGAAGTGTATTCCTATATAGGACATCATCATGTCTCATTCATATTTTAGCATTGGACCCAATATTTAATTTTAACATTTTAAAATTCAGATTTTATGTTTGATACTGTGACAATAAAAGGAATGTAAAGAGGAAGTTTATTTGGCTCTTTCTGTGTGATGGAGAAATGTGGAGACAGAGGGCTAAGATTCAGTTAGTGAATTATGACACTTCAGTGCCTTGTCTTCCAAATAAGTATCTGAGGTCTCAGAAGATAGAATTGGAATTATTTTCCCCTTAAAATTAAAACATGCTGAAACAATAATAATAATAATAATATTAAAAGATAGTGTTAATGGTAAACATTTATTGATCTACTTACTGTGTACAAGGCAATGTTCTAAGCATTCTTCAGGTCTTAAAGAATTGAATTCTTACAACCACCTTTTGAGGTGGGAACTATGACCCCCATTTGATAGAGGAGGAAATGCAGTCCAGGGAAGTTGTCATTTGTCCAAGGGAACATGACTCAGTAATTGGGCAATTGGATTCTAGAGGCTATGCTCTTACTTTTTATGACTTGTTACCTAGAACTTTCTGACACATTGAATATTAAAATTTTATTGGTAATATTTTTGAAATTTCAAAACTATTAATGATTTAAGTATGGGTACTCAATTGTGTGTGCTATGTCCATAACCCTCTTTTTTTTTCCCAATTATAAAGGCAGTATGTGCTTATTATAACAAATTTTAAACAGTACTAGAGTGATCATAAAAATAAAAAGTGAAAGTCTCTTCCAACGTCCTCTCCAGTCCCTGCCCCTCCAAAGGTGCTTAATGGTTTGGTTGATTTCCTTCCACAGTTTAGCTTAAATCAGGACATTACCATCTGCATTTGTTGTTTCCACAGTGGTATGGTATGGCAGAAAGATTAACAAAAAATTGAGTCCTTTAGGGTGATTTACAAAACCCAAAGTTATTTCAGAATTTAAGGTTTCAGTTCTAGGAGTAATTTGACAAATAGTCACCACTGTTTATGACTCTGCTAGAGAGATATGTAACTTAAGGAACCAGTTCATTTTTTAGTAACTCTAAGGCAACATACATATTCATGAGGGTCCTTCAGCATTTTTATTTCCTCTCAAAGAACTTGTCTGCTTTCATTTTTAAAGAGTTTTTGTCTTTGTTTTTGTATTTAAATGATTCTTAAAGCCAGTTTGTTTCATATCTTGTAATCCCCCTTATGGTGCAGTTTTCTGATTAAACTACATGTTCATTATAAAAAATCCAAAAAATACATTAAAATGTAAAGAAGAAAGCTCTTTAAATTTTTTCAACTTTTATTTCTTTGATTATTGCTTCTCTGTCTTATTTTCTCTATAATTTCTATTATATATATTTCCTATACCTCCTCATTAAAGAGCGTTTAATAATTTAAGAGACCACTGAGCTCTTTGGAGTTTCAGTTCTCTGATGGTTTTGCATGTGATTTTCTGATAGAATCCTAGACACTTCCTTTTCTGTCTGTCCTGCCTTTTTAAATTTTTTTTGGTCATGAACTTAGTTGTTTTAACCCTGGGATCTTTCTCCAACATCCTAATATATTTCAATTCAGTGGTACTTATTTTTACTTCTCTTAGGCTCATTTCCTTCATCTGAAAAATGATTATGTTAGACAAAATACTCTGTAAAGTTCCTTTCAGTTCATAAATCCTATCTAAAAGGTTTAATTGTGATAGCCACAAGAAGACATAACCAAATGTAAATTCCACTTGGAAGACAATTCCACTGCAAGTGTGCTTTCGGTGTTCTAGTTGATTGAAGCAGTGAACACTGAAGAAAGGTTCATGAGACTAACCACTGGGGTATGAGAAGAAATTATTAAAACATCTATGTATGTTTTTTTATTTCAAAATATTTAAACTTATGTTTAATATATGTATAATAATATAACAGAGAACATATATTGGTGATCAGACCATTTTTTTTCTGATGCTGTGTGATCAGAATAGCTTGATGACCGCTGATTGGGTTGAAGTGCTGTGCTGACAAGGTGATGGGCGTGGCTGTTTCCACACACAGGCCAATTTGTCATTTTGTTCCAGAGCACGTCTTGGACATGCATCCGACTACTTACTTATTGGGTAATCCAAAACAGGAGCATCAATTAGAATATGACTATTAAAGTTAAGGATTTTTTTCTGATTATAAGAATGGTAATTGTGTATTACTCTTTTTTTTTTTTTAAGTTTTTTGCAGGGAGAGGTAATTAGGTTTACTTACTTATTTTTTAATGGAGGTACTGGGGATTGAACCCAGGACCTTGTGCGTACATGCTAGGCATGCACTCTACCAATGAGCTATACCGTCCCCCTTTGTATATTATTCTTGAAAATTTGAAATGTAGGAGGAACAACAACAACAAACATAACCTCCACTCCCTGAAAATGATCAAAGAGTATCAAACTCTTTTGTATCTGAAGATACATTTTAGAGTGGGAAGGAGCAATCCTTAGAATTCATATTCGATACTTTACTTTTCCTAAACCTTATCCAAATGTTCATCAGATCTTACTAATTCCTTACTGGATGTGACTTTTCCATTTCTCTTTTATTTCCATTACATTGTCTTAGTTGAGATCCTTTTTATTTCTTTCCTGTAGTACTTCGGTTTGAGACCAAAGACTTTGTCTTTTTAATCTTTACAGTCGTTTGGGGAAAGGGGAAGGAACTAGCCAACACTTAATGGGTGTCTCCAGCATGCCTGTTACTGTGCTAGATACTTTGCATGTATTACCACAGTTTCATTTCCTCAAGTTGACCCAGTGAGGCTGGGAGGAAATTGATAGCCCCATTTCACAGACAGGGCACAAGGCTTCACAGTTAGTAAATGGTGGGTTGTTGATCGAGATCTGTGTAGTCCACCCTGCGCTGAAAGACAGACATGTAAACAGACATACTGCAATACAGTGTGATACGGGATTTTGATGGGAGTCCGGACTGAATGCTCTGTGCATCAGCCTGCTGCTAGAGGGGTTGGCGAAGGCTGTAGAGAGGAGGGAACTCAAAACTGGTCTTGAATGGAAGCTCCAGAAGTGTAAGGGCTTTGTTTCTTTTATTTACCACTGTATTCCTGTCCCTAAAGTGCTGTCCCACACGGTAGGTGCTTGGTAAATAATCAGGAAATGATCAGGTGTTAATTGAATGTAGGCAGAGTCAACAACAGATGTCAAAAGACAGAGTCATGAAAGATCTTGTGGTGTTTCGGTAATATTCAGGTGAGACAGATCGCCTGACTGATCTATGTCAATAACACAGCCTTAACATGCCTGGGATAGCTCTTTTATCAATTTAGATTGACTTCTGTTATGTGAAGAAGGAATAATCTTAAGTGATACATGAACGAGGCAAATATTGTGAGCTCAAATTATGTTTTCATAAAATCACGTAAAAGTTGAGCTCATGAATTTATGAGAAGGTACAGGATTTGAAGTAACCTCTATTGTTTCCTATCCCTTAGAAGAAATACATGTGTGTATCTAATATGAGCAATTAGCACACCTTCTTTTTTTTTCTTTCAGTGACACTGGTACAGTAGCTCCAGAAAAATGCTTGTTCGGGGCAATGTTAAATATCGCCGCAGTTTTATGTAAGTGATGAGAGTGGTTTTAATGGTCAAAATTAGTAGCTGAATTGAGCTTTTCTTGTTTCAACACTATCGTGTTACTTGTGTTACTTTCTAGGTATAATTGAAGAAATGTTGTTATTGATCACAGATATGTTTCTTTAAAAAAAATTCTTGAAATGCTAAATTCTGGAAATATTTTAAAATATATATATAGGGCTCTTTGACCACTCATCCAAATAGAAGTTGTAAAATATAACCAAATATTTGTTGAGGCCTTAAGTGGATTTCTTTAGCAGCCTATAGAAGACTGTAAACAGGCTGATCGCAACTAACCCCAATGAAATTTTTTTAAGATAAACAATTTAGAAGTATAAGGATAGCTATGGAACCATGTTTTGATTTTTGAGCGATATTCTAATGCCAAAGGAATGGAGTTCTGCTACAATATTTTGCATTCATGTTCATTATTTACTTTTGAACCAATTTTTTTCTATTAATGGTTTACTAAAATACTGCTTTTTCCATCAATCGTGATTGTTTTAAATATTTTCATTTTGTCCCTGTGATGTTTATTATTTGCTCAGATCAAACACTGAAGATAAAAAAATGATTCAATGTATAAAAGTTCATCTTATGACTAACATTTTTAAAAATGTATCTACAAAAGCATACCTGTGTTACATTTCTACACTTCTGAGTTCTTTGGCATTATTTTTGCAATAGAAGGTTTGATTTGGCCCTTTCTTAACTAACAAGGACAGTCAAATGGGTTTGGGTTTTTTTTTTCCTAACTGCTATATCTGATTGAGCCAAGTTGTAGTTATTTGACATAAAAGGAAAAGAAAGTGAGTCAAATAATTTTTGGGTGTTTTTTTTTGCCTATGTCCATTTTATCCATATTGTAGGACAAACTGCTTTAGACTTTAGTACTAATTATATAGAATATTTTGTTTTTTATATAACATTTACTATTAGAGATTTTTCAGAAAGTGTCAGACTTATCTCTTAAATTTTTCCTAACTTATTTTTAATATGAAGCCTGTGGGAGGCAAACGACTTGCTCGGTCACACAGACATATCAATAGATTCATAATGCAGCCTTAAGAGTACTTAGAAGTCTACAGCTGTTACTTAGTTACTTACTACTTTGCTGTTTTCTCATTCTGTCTTCCCAGGCGTTGCTACCATTTATGTTCGTTATAAGCAAGTTCATGCTCTGAATCCTGAAGAGAGCTGTATCATCAAATTAAACAAGGCTGGCCTTGTACTTGGATTACTGAGTTGTTTAGGACTTTCTGTTGTGGCAAACTTCCAGGTTTGTGTTTTAGCCCAGCATAGGTATTTTCCTGAAACACATAAAAATCCACATTAAAAAAAGAAAAGCTGACGCATTTGGTTACATGCTGTCATTGTTTCTTTGCCTTAACAAAATGGAATGCACTGCCTTTAAATTATTTGACCCTCTTAGAAATTAGAGAAATTGATTCTCAGTAATCTCCTGAACAAATATAAATTATTCTGATTTTCAAAAAATCCCCAGGACTCATTACTTGGTAGATTCTTTATTACTACTTAGTTGGAGATTACCCCAAGACAGAATTGATATCAATTGTAAGTGACACAATTATAGATTTCAACATTTTTTAAATATGCCTAACAGGTTGTACTTAATCTACCTATTTTATATTCTTGTTTAGATGTTCCCATTGATTGCTTGTGTTCCTAGGTACCCAGCCCCTTATATGAGGAAGTAAAAGGAGGCTCTATAGCTCTTCCAGCCTTTTCTCAGGGAATTCTTAATGTTAAAGTGGCAGTCAGCCTTCACCAAATATTTGCAAACTCTCCACATTCCTTTTTATTGACATTCTTTCAGAGGAGTCTTTGGTAATACCAGCTGCATCCTGGGCATATGGTGCTTTTTGATTAATCCCTGCCGTCTTTAAAGTTTCAATTTAGAGATTTGGTAACCTGCTTACATACCTAATAACCATTCAGACATACAAACACACACTCGTCATATAAATACACATATAAAGGCATATTCCATCTCTCTTATTTAGAGTTCTCCTTTCTTAAATACTTCTGATTGGCTCTCCTATTTTTCAGTGTTTTGGTAATGGTTAATACTCGTAAATGCTATAAATATAACCCAAGTGGGTACCAGGGTAATGCTTGCTGCTCTAACGAAGTCCAGAATTTCAATGTCTTAACACAATTGACGTTTATTTCTTATATACGTGAATCCAGTGAAGGTATTTTTGATTGATAGATGGCTTTCCTCCCACAGTGATTTAAGGTCCAGACACGATCCATCTGTGGGTCCTGCTGTTCCCTAAGACCCTCTTATCTTCTGCATCTGTCTGCCTTAAACAGTCAAAGAGAACATGCAGAAATCACACCTGCTTCTTAAAAACCTTAACCGGGCAGTGACTCATATCATTCCACTGACATTCATTTCCTAGGTGCAGGAGGGGCTGGGGAATATAGTCTGTGGATCGTGATTCCAGTTATCCCTTGATCAGTTGATCAATTTAACAATATCTCTCATCACTGTGTGGTAGAAATGGATCCCTAAGTGACCTCCACATTTAACTACTTCTGTTAGTAACTGGTATTTGTTCACAACCCAGTAAATTCCAGTGGCAGTTCCAAACAGCATCATGCAAGCTGCCTTTCTACCTTTATTTCATTGACCTACTAAAACAGTTTGCATTCATAGTCATTCTTCGTTTTGTTTTCAGCTTTCGTTTTAATTTACCTCCATCACAAGAGTCCCATTGATCTTGTAATTTTGAATCAAATTAGTTTTTTTCTCTGGGTAACATCTGTTTTCATGCAGCTTTGGACCTGTTGAATGTGCTCTACATCTGTCACTGATGGCTTCATTGCTGGACCATCTTTATAAGCAGACCCTATAATAGTACCCAGATATCAAACCGTTCCCCTTGCTTTCTAATGTAAACTTCCACTGCTTATTTTAAGGGGTGAGTGCATTGCCTCTTTCTCCTCTTTCCATTTCTATCTTGCAGAGACAAACTGGTTGATTCAATAGGAAAAATGGTACACAAACCAGGTCTGTAAATGGCTTACAGTTAGAGAGCTTAACTTGGAAGAGGGGCAAGTGCTTTGTTTTAAAGTAGGGACTTGTTGGTTTTATGTCTTAAATATTTCTTGAAGGCATCAGCTTCTCTCCATTTTCATCTCTACTTCTCTCTCTACCATCTCCTTCTCAGCCAAGTTAGATTTCATCATCTCTCATCTGGATTACTGCCGTGGCCTCCGTAGTAGTTCCTCTGCATTTCCTGTTACATCCCTTTAATTTAATATGGCATCCAAAATAATCTTTTGGAAATATATCTACTCCTCATTTTTCTTCCTTGTATGCCTGCTTAAAGCTCACAGGTCCAAGGTTGCATGAGGAGAGATATTTAAGAGAGGAAAATGATTCGTTCAACTGCCAAACTGCTTAATTAACTTAAAGGTCTTTTAGATTCTGGCTGCTGTCTACCTCTCCAACCTTGTTCTGCATCATTCCCCTCCTGTATCTCCATTGTCCATAACATAGGCGTTTCTGTGTTCCTTACGTAAGAGAAGTTTATTTAACTCTATTTCATATATTGTTTCTTTGATTGCACGTTACATAACACCAACCCTAAATAGAAGTTGGCAGACTGTACTTCCTGATGGAAGTCTTTTTTTGTCAATGACTTCCTCCTATATACTTCAAGTTTTCTTTCTTGGTGATCTACAAGCCTCTAAAAACTAATTCTTCTTAACACTTCTTATAGTCTAATTTTATATCTGTAGGTTTTTTAAAAATTTATTTAAGAATTTTTTAGTTCATATGTTTCTCCGTCAATTATTGCACAGTGGTTTTGTTCACCATTGGATATTGAGCACCTAACATAGCACTTAGTACAAGCATGCTCCCATACTAAGTACTTAGTACCTTTGTGAGAGAGGCTAAGGGAATTAAGCAGGATGGGTGAAAAATTCTCTTGAGATTACCGTGATTGCACTTAAAGAGACCTAAAAATTATAATATGGCGTTTAAAAACTAACTTAAAAGATACAGGTTTAGTTTCTTTGAAGACAAATGTGTATAAAAATATATAGCAGAGCAAAAATGTGTCCTCAGTGCCTAGGAATTTTTCCTTTCTTAGTGTCAACTGAAATAAAAATGCACAACATGAGAGATGTGAGTTTCAGTGTTACTCCTGTGAACTGTAGCCTGGGAGGCAGCCTCTGAGATAGCGCTGAGGACCTGCTCCAGAGAGGTAAGAGGGGAGGTCAGCGTATATGTGATTTTAGAGAACAGGTTTGTGCAATCAAACACATCTCAGTAGAAGGTTGCTGCAAAGTCATGAGGCACAGACATCTTAACTTAATGATTTTAGCCGCTTTTCTCAATACCAGAAGATGTAAGAAACTGGTTTCATAAAATTATCTCCTAAAAATATCTAACTGTCTGAAGGCCTGTTCTGCCAGTTTTTCCAGAGCACAGAGGGCCTCATTCCTGATCTCCACCCTGAACTCCTTTCAGGGAGCACTGCAGGTCAGCAGCCTCAGTGGCTGGTGACTCAGTCCTTGTAGAGCCAGTTGACAAGTGACATTCTTTAGTTGGCACCAGGAAATTTATCCTTGTCAAGGAAATGTGGAAGGGATGATTAGGCAGAAATCTATGTTAATTTTCTAGGGCTGTCATAACAAAAATACCACAATTTGGGTGGCTTAAAGTAACAAAAATTTATTCTCTCAAAGGTCAGGAGGCCAGCAATCTGAAGTCAGAGTATTGGTAGGGTTGGTTCTCTTTTGGGGGCTCAGAGGGAGAATATTCCATGCCTGTTCCCTAGCTTCCAGTAATCCTTGGCATTTCTTGGCCTGTGGCAGCAGAATTCTGTTGTCATATGGCATTCTCCCTCCCTAGAAAATTTATCCTCAAGGAGACTATGGAAGGGATAAGAATAAGTAAGCAGAAGATTAGTTCTTAAGTTTCATTAACTGCTTTTAGGTAAAGATTACAAACCACTCAATATGTAATTTATAAGTTCTATAGCAAACATTTGGCCCTGACCTCACATATCTCTGTAATTTGTTTGTCTTCATCAAAGAGTAAGTTTTTGTCTTTTGTTTTGTTGAAGGATGTATTTTTAAGGAGGATAAAAGAATGACTTGTGTACATAGGTCAAAAGTTTTATTTAATTTACTAATTAATGACAGAAATAGTGGGTACTACAAACCAGTTCAAAAGAGAAGTCAAAGTAGCACACACAGTCAGATAAGGAATGCTCAAACAAATTATAAATAGATGCAAAACTAGCAAAACTGATTATTATTCACAGAGTGATAATTGCATTTAGTCTGACACTGTGCATTTCTAGTCATATGAATTATTTGCATTCCTATGCAGTTTCAATAAGTTAGCTCTGTCTCCACACATAACATCTCTGTCTCTATACATAACATCTATCATTACTCAGCTTTTCTCTGCAAAATAGCCCTAACAAAGCCAAGTAAAATTCACGTATCTATAGACCCATTCCCAGAGGCTCTAGTATTCCATTGAAAGGATAACCTCTTGCCCATTTCAAGATCTTCTGCTGTTTCCCTAGTCTCTAAAATGACAAAGTTGACTTGGTTAAGCAAAAGTACTGCCAGTTGAAACCACTTTTATATACCTCTGTTTTGATTCTAAAAATTCAAAAGTAGATGCCCTCCATCCTTTATTATTCTTTTTAGCTACATGATTTTGTTGCTAGAACTGTGTACTGATCACAGGTGGGCACTGATCAGGGTATATCTGTGTTTAGCTTCATCAATATATGTGAGAATATTTTTAAGGAGAAAAATCTACCCATATGTCTGCTCTTAACCCTAAAATAGTCAATTTCATTTTTGCTTCTATTTCCATAGCCTTTATCCATATATATATATATATATATAGATAGATAAATTCATATGAACCAAGAAGATACTACCATTTTACATTATGTTTTATGGGTGCTGAATTTTTTTTTCCTTTGTTACTCAAAGTGGTAATAACGATACATTTTTTCCCTTTCCAAAGCTCATAACATTACCAGTTAAAACACCCCATACCATATTGAAGTAGCCCTTTTATCTCCGAAAGGAAACGATTGCCTTTTAAAAATAATTTGTTATCTTTTACTTCTTTATACTAGAAACTTCTTACACCTTCAACTAAAAAAAGTGGACTCTGTTTGTGAATTAGCACAGTTGATTGTAGAAGGAGGGAATCAACACTAACCTCACCTCTCTTCTCCTGTTGCGTTAGTCATACCCTCTTTACCAAGGGCTGTACAGCACTTTCTCAACCGAATGGCATACAGATAGCATCAGTTTAAAAAAACTAGAGAGTTCACCAAAGGACTCTGATAGTAGAATTTTTGGAGAGCTACTGTCCTCACTTTTAAACAGAGGGTATATATAGTAAAATGTAACTGGATTCCAATAAAGGTAAGGTGAAGGAGAAAAAAAATTACAAATTATGGTGATCCCTTACAGTAAAATTTGTTAAGACCAATCAAATCAGAGCCAAGGGGAGATGTTTTAATTTCTTGAGCTTATAAGTTGCATTTAGATTTTAATTAGATTTAAGCTGAAACTCTCTACCCCTTGCATTCCCAACCATCCTAGTCCTCTTTATCTTGTTCTGTTCCTTCCATACTCCATAACCACCATCTAACTTACTATGGAGTTTATGTATTTCTGAAGTTTATTATTTACTATTTGTGTTCCTTCACTTGAACGTAAACGTTAACAGCCAGATTTTTGTCTGTGTTGTTTACTAATATTTCTGTGTGCTTAGAACAGTAGTTTGATGCATAAGAAGCCCCCAAATAAACATATTATTAAATGAGCAAATGAATAATCACTGTCATGTTTTCACTAGTGGCACAAATGCATGAAATAATTTGGATTACTGTAATCCTCGGGTTTACGCTGAGTCCCGTGAGAGAATATTACTTCGGGATGTAGTCTGTAGACGCTACAGAGCTATTCCACTCAGTGAATGTTCTGTTGAAATCGCTGGGCTTGGGGTTTTAGATAGTTTTGGCAATGTGTTTTGAGTTTCTTTTATTTACTGATTTCTTCCTTCTACCTCTCAGAAAACCACCTTTTTTGCTGTACATGTATGTGGAGCTGTGCTCACCTTTGGCATGGGCTCATTATATATGTTTGTTCAGACCATCCTTTCCTACCAAATGCAGCCCAAAATTCACGGCAAACAGATCTTCTGGATCAGGCTCCTGTTGGTTATCTGGTGTGGAGTAAGTGCACTTAGCAGTATCCTTTGCTGTAAAATGTGGCTACACTTGGAAAGGAATCAAATAACAAAATTTAAATGAACACTGGTGGCATATCATAATCAGACCTTTTGCGGGGTGAGATTCTTGGGTTAGTAAACCCTAAATTAAAGAATTGGAAGCATGAAATCCAAGTTTTACATAGGACCTAATAACTAAACTAAGAACAAGGATAATGTTTAGCCTGATCATACTCCCTTCAGGGATAGGAAGGATGAGTTAAGGCCCTCCCTGAGAACAATTATGTAGCAAAACCTTACGATAGAACTGCTGATTTATTGAGCAAAGAGGGATTGACGGTGCAAACCATTTCATAGTAATCTTCTGGGCATGTTTTAAACTTTACTACTGCCATGTAACTTGAAGTCTTTAAGAAAATGGGTTTGGACCTTGGAAACATGTATGTGTAATCCTTTTAGGCCTTTAAAGTGATTTTGGTTTTGAATCTAATTTAAACTTACAGGTCTCCTGTGAGATTCTTCCTTGACTTACTTTTTTTATAGTGCTGACTTGCTCATCCCTTCTGTACACTGGGAGTTTTGGTGCTGATATAGTACAGAAACTGCATTGGAACCCTGAGGACAAAGTAAGAGCTGACAGTCTATAAAACTTAGTTTTATATTAAAGATTTTCATTGCTTTTGATGTACTTTTCATTACATTACTAATAATGAAAGTAGAATAATTATTAATTTATAGGACTATTTTCTATAAAGGATAGAGTTTATGTAGAACCATCCATTTTTCTCCAGTCACTTTGTGGTCCTTGGACATTTTCAAGACATAAAGAGAGTTGTGATGGCAGAGTCTTATCAGAAATTGATTCCTCTAAATATGGTTATAGTATACCATATACCTCACTGAAATCTTTTATTCATAGAATACTTGTTTTCTGAATTGAAAGCAAAAATTTCTTCTCCCACTTTTTGTTATCTGTAAGTTTATTATTACGGACTTTGCATTTGGGTTCCAATATAGTGGATATCTGACTAGAGATAGCATTTTCGATCCTGAGAAACAAGAGAGGAGGGACATATACTTAAATAGGCAATAAAATGAGTTTATCTGTTTTCACAAACCACTCAGGTGGCATTTTATTTTAAATTATTTTTAAAGAGTCAGTCCTAAATAGGACATGTTTGTGAGAGTGATTGAGCGAAATAATTTACTAGATTCTCCTAATTATAATTAATCTATATTATTCAATGCTCAAAAAACAACACTAAGTTTATTCTGAGCATTGTTTACTTAAAATTTTTTTTTAGTGGCATTAATGACTTGTAGCTTTAGGAAAGGCAGTAACTTCTTGATTCTAGAGTAGAAGTTCCTGTTCTTAGTTATTCAAGTGAAAATTTTATTTGCTGTAGATGAAACTATGATAGATCATTTAGGAGGACTTTTCTAATGTCTACCTTTAAGTCTAGTGATACGTTAAGTAAATCAGGGGTTGATATTCAGAACACAGGTTGGTTTATAAATATTATAGGTTTTTTTATCTGAGAGAAATTATAGATCATTTGAATGAAATTTCACAGAACTACTCCTTTTTTGTTGTCGCTTAAGGGTTATGTGCTTCACATGATCACTACAGCAGCAGAATGGTCTATGTCATTTTCCTTCTTTGGTTTTTTCCTGACTTATATCCGTGATTTTCAGGTAAGAAGACATGGAATTAAATTTATGCAGTTAAACCTCCTTTGGGTGGAATAAGAAAGCTTTCTATAAGCAAGTCTCTGGCGTTTTTGAAAATTAACTTCATAAGCAGTGATGCCAGAAGAGGACCTTCTGTGTTTGGAGAAATAGTGTTTTGCCAGCAATGTCCAGCCTTGGAAATAGAGTTGTAAAACAATTTGCAAAAATTCTTTCAGAGAGTTTTTATTAACTCTGCCTACATTTACGTAGGCCATCCTCAACATTTAGTTTTACGCATTCTCTGTAGAAACCAAAGAAAATTAAGGAACTTCTGAGTAGAGAAGCTTGTTTTTCCCAACTCTGTTGGTACTACAGATGATACTGTTGGCAGTACAACAGCTGTCTCACTCTTGTTACTCATTAGAATAGATTTACATTCCTAATCCCAAAAGATGTTCCTCCAAATGTATTGAAAATGTGATCTGCCTTTAAGGAGCAAACTTCTATGTGTAACTTTCTTTTCTCTTCCAGAAAATCTCTTTACGAGTGGAAGCCAATTTGCATGGATTAACCCTCTATGACACTGCTCCTTGCCCTGTTAACAATGAACGAACACGGCTACTTGCCAGAGATTTATGATGAAAGGACAAAATATTTCTGTGGTGATTATGATTCTCAGGGACTGGGGAAATATTCATGAAGGTTACTTTGCTCTGAAATTTTCAACCAGTTAATCAAGGCTGACAATGATGTCGAAGAATACTGATAATCAAGACCCATGAATTAAGCCATTTGATATTATAAAGGATATCTTCAAGAGGACCACATAAAAACATTGATGCCTATAGTTTTTTTTATCCCAGAAAACAAAACCAAAGGACTACAACATTGTAGCTTTTTTCTACTTTTTTAAAAAGAAACAAGCAGAAGTGCACCAAGCAGTCTGCAAAATCCAACTTTTCACATTTTTTAAGGCATTATAAAGTACGTTTTGTTTAGAGTACTTATATGAGAGACATTTTTCAGGACCCCAAATAATCAGCATTGCTCAACAGCTCTTTTTTCATTGGATTTTGAAGTAGTAGTTTTACCATATTAATACATTTCTTACCATCTTCATAAAATTTTTTTTCTTCTGGAATCCAGTTTTAAAGGGAAGCAGACCTGAATTCATGTGAGCACCATCATTGCTTAAGCTTTGCACAAGAGAGCCTGGAGGTATTGAATTGATTACTGCCATGAGGCCAGATACTATGCTAACTGGTCTGTCACAGTGCTTGCAATAGTTTCATGAAGCTTAGTGTCTGATACTAGATTTTAATTACTAATGAATAAGGAAAGTAGCTATCAGTAAATATACTCCAATTGTGTTTTGTGTAAAAGTGTTTAGTGGGTTCCTTCACAAGGCTGAGAAGTTTGTGAATAACAGCAGGTATGATTAATATAAAATAAAAATCACCTCAAACTGCAGTCAAGACCTTCTTAAGATTTTCATTTATAGCCAATTATAATTACTTGTAAAAGTAGCATTGAACTGGAAAATGAGCCTTTTTGAGGGGAGCTGGTCTTTGTAGGACCCAAATTCTAAAGAACAAAATCAACAATCCAGAAAAACGAGGGACAAGATGATTGTGATACATACATCCACCAGCACAACGTTCTCTCTTTTCCTCTGGCCATAAAAGTGATTGGATAGCTTCTGCTTGGATCCCTACCTGTGCAGATAAAGAATGGTTTACAGATCCCAGATAAAATTCAGAAGAAGAAAATGCTCATCTGGAAGGTGCCTTTGATGAACTGATTTGCAAAAGGATCTCTGAAGAAGATGAACAAGGCTTATCTTTTTAGAAGAAATGGTTCCATAGTCAGAATAACAGACAGAACAGGTTTGAAGTGTAAGAGGTAGCAGTTTAAGAGAAATGATTATATGATGGAACCATAGATGTCAGTTATGAAAAGGGTGCTAGTTACAGAATTCTATAAATATTTCTGAAGACTTCTGAACTAGTTTTACAGAAAATGGGATAAAATACTTTTTAAGCTGTATCAAGCAACAGTGAACATGGGAGACATTTCAATAGACATTGATTGAAATTGTATCATTAGAAAAAAAATTCAATATGAACCATAAAATTTTTTTATCATGCCTCTGAAAATCATGGTGCAGCCACATCTGGGAAACAAACTCCAGTCCTGATTGCTATACATCAAGGAAACTAATTCAAGTTGTCAAGGACTACAGTGTGGTGAGAGGGAAAATGATAGAATCAAAGTTTATAAAGTTATAAATTATATGTGGGGAAGAACATGGACTTGTACATCCATACTAGAATATTAGGCTTAGGGATACACTAATACATTAAATTGTTTTAAGACAAAAAATGTTATTTGGATAGTACTTAAACTTTTGCCCTTATAAATAATATAGGCTAAAAATATTAGTAAGTTCAAAAAGGATTATAAATAGAAAATTTGAATGTGCCTTTATCCTTCATCTTAATGCCAAAGTAATGGAAGGCAACTGTACCCTACGTCAAAATGCCTTGCCAAAGTTGTCAGACACATTAGCTTGGATGAATGGATAAGGTAGTTCTCTTCAGTCAATTTTTTCAATGTTTAGCTTTAAGAGTAAGAGATTTTAAGCTGAAAAGATTAGCAGATACTATGAATTGATAGTGCAAAATCTATTTTCTCATTGTCCTACGTACACAATAAAACTACATTTCCCAACTTTCAATTAAGTATAACCATAAAACTGAATTTTAGCCAATGAAATGTAAATGAAATGGATGTGTTTGCTGTTTTAATATTAAGGTTTTGTAAAACAGGAGTGCTCTTTCCTAATCTTTTTATACCATTTGTATATTGATGACAAGATTTTAGGATATGGCAGAATCACATGTAGGAGCCCTGAACTAGTCCACTTTTAATCAGATTTTAGAATACTGAACTAGAGATCTAATATAATTTAAGAATTCTGTTTTTATCCATCCCAGTTATTAAGATTATGTATTTTTAAATTGTGTTATACATTGTAAATGATCAGTGGATTTATGAGAGAAAAAAACTTATCTCTTCTGCAGTGTTCTTTATAGGCTTACTATGAAATGAAGTTCAGTAGATGTTGGGTTAATGTCCTTGCAAATCTTTGTTGTACATCTTTCCTTTTTTCAAGCAGAGTGCTGGTTTTAGAAACTATATACTCATTTATGAGGGAGATAAGAACATAGAACAGACCTAAAACAAAGGAAAACTCTTTCTGAGAAATTATGACTCTTAACAGTATAAGCAATTGTATCCTCCAAAAGATGTGGCAATTTGAAATAGTATTCACCTGAGAGTTCACCCATTCAGAAAGCCTGAGGAGAGTACAAAAAGAATACCTCAGAAATTCTAAAATATACAATTGGAATGTAGTGCAGAGGGAAATCCCCAGTGTTTGGGAATCTGGCAATTCAGCTGAGAAGCACAAAGATTCCTCTGGAATATCACCAATGACCAGATCCCAATCTCTGCTAAGAGGAAATCCTGTTCACTTAAAATATTTGAAGCAAGTAGTAAATTGAATCAAACTAAAGCAGCAACAAAGCTCATCTCCACCTCAACTACAGACCATAAATATTAATTCAGCCTCTCACTCTGCAAACATGGCCAGAAAACAGCCATGCCATTTTTTGGAGGCAAATATTATGGAAAATATCCAACATATAGTAAGAAATTATAAAGACATGCAAAGGGACAGAAAATTTTGACTCAGGAAACAATAGAAGCAAACTCAGAGATTGCATAGATGTTGCAATTATCAGAGCTAGATAAACTATGGTAAAAATGCTGAAGGAGCTATTAAAAAGTTTGGAAAACATGCACAGAAAGATGGAATTTCAGCAGAGATAAATATATTTTAAAAACAAAAATTCTAGAATAGAATATGATGGCTACACGAAGGAAAGAGTTTTTATCAATCCTTGAATATGACAGTTGAAAGTATAAAAACTGGGAGTGAAAGAAAAAAGAAAAAAAAGGAATTGAGTATCTGGTTTTGAAGGCAAAATGAAATGGTCTTAATCTTTTAATTGAGTTTCAGAAAAAGGATAGAATGGCATGGAAGAAATGTTTGAAGAGATACCAACTGAGAGCTTTTGTAAAGCTGATGGAAATTAACAGAAAATCAACAAAATCAAAAGTGAGATTTTGGAAGTTATAAAATTAATGAATACCTAGCAAGACTAATACACTGTGTTGAGTAGTATTCCCCAAAAAAGTCATGTACACCTAGAACTTCAGGATGTGACCTTATTTGGAAATAGGATATCTACAGATGTAATTAGTTGTGATGAGCTCATACTACATTAAGATGAGCCGTAAATCCAGTGACTGGTGTCGTTAAAAGAAGTCCACAATAGAAACAAAGAATCAGAGAAAAAGACTAATTGAAGACAGAGTCAGAGATTAGGGTAATGCGGTATCAAGGCAAAGAATCCCAAGGATTTACAGCAAGCAGAAACTGTGAAGAGACAAGAAAGGGTTCTTCACTACAGCTTTTAGAGGGAGCCTTGGTTTTGGATTTCTGTCCTCCAGAAATGTGAGAGATTAAGTTTCTGTTGTTTGAAGCCATCCAGTTTATGGTGATTTGTCATGACATCCTAGGAAGTTTAAAAAAAAAATGAACAAGTAAGGAAGAGAAAACACATTACTGATACTGGGAATGAAAAAGAGGACATCACTACATAGCCTATTGACATTAAAGATAATAAAAGCATTTTATGGCCAACTCTATGCCAGTAAGCTCAACAACACATGAAATGAACAAATGCTATATGAAATGTACAAATTCGTAGAAATATAAAACATATCAAGACTAAGTCAGGAAGAAATAGAAAATCTAAATGGATCTAGAATAACAAGAAGATTGAATCAGCAATACAAAATCTTCCAACAAAGAAAAGCCCTTGACCTCATGGCTTTAGTGGTGAATTCTACCACACATTTAAAGAACTAATACTAAGTCTTGCAGATTTATCCAAAAAATGAAGAGTCCACTTCCTAACTTATACTATGAGGCCAGCATTCCTCTTATACCAAAGAAAGACAGACTCCACAAGAAAACTAGAGACTGATATCCCTTATGAATATTGATAGAGAAATTCTCAACAAGGTACTAGGAAACAATTTGGCAGCATATCTAAAGGTTTAGGCGCCATAAGCAAGTAGAATTTATGGTTCAACATACGAAAATCAATCTGTGTAACATACCACGTCAACAGAATGAAATGGGAAAAGCCCACATGAACATCTCGTTTGATGCAGGAAAACCATTTGACAAAATTCAACACACTAATAATAAGACCACTCAACAAACTGGGAGTAGAAGGAAGCTACCTTAATGTAATAAAAGCCATTTATGAAAAGCACAGTGAACATCATACTCAATGGTGAAAGACTAAAAGCATTTCCTCTGAGATCAAGAACAAAGCAAAATTGTCCTTTAACACATCTATTCCAAGATAGTACTAAAAGTTCTAGCCAGAGTACTTAGGCAAGATAAGAAAATCAAATGCATCCAAATGGGAAAGGAGAAAGTAAAATTACTGCTTTGCATATGACATCTAATATATAGAAAACCCTAAGCAGTTCAAAGAAAAAACTCAGAACTAATAAATCAATTCAGCAAAGGAATAGGATGCAAATCAACACATAAAAATCAGTTGAATTTCTACACACTAACAATGAACAATTTGGAAAGGAAATTGCAAAAACAATTCCATTTAAAATTACATTTTAAAACACTTAGTAAATAATGTAGTGAAAAGCAAAAGACTTGTACACTGAAAACTACAAAACATTGCCAAAAGACATTAAAGGAAACATCAATAAATGGAAACATCTTATACTTGTGGATTGGAAGGTGCTATTGCTAAATCATCATTACTACCCAAAGTGATCTACAGATTTAATGTAATTCCTGTCACACCCCCAGTGACTTTTTTTTTTTTTTGCAGAAATAGAAAAACTTATTCTAAAATTTATGTGAAACCTCAAGGGACCCTGAAGAGCCAAAAGAATCTTGAAAAATAAGAACAAAGTTAGAGGACTCACATGTCCAGATTTCAAGACTTACACTACAAAGCTACAGTGTTATATTGGTGAAAGGACAGGCTTAGAGACCAATAGAATAGAAGAAAGAGCCCAGAAAAAAAAATCTGTCTTAATCTGGTCAAGTGATTTTTAACAAGGATGCTAAGACTATTCAATGGTGGAAGCTCAGTCTTTTCAAAGAATGGTGATGGGAGAATTGGATATCCCTATGTAAAAGAAAAGAGTTGGACCCTTACCTAATACCACATCCAGAAATTACAATGTATCAAGAACTTAAATGTAGGATCTAACACATAAAATTCTTAGAACAGTACAAAGCCGTCACAACATTGGATTTGGCAATGACTTCTGGGATGTGACACCAAAGGCATAAGTATCAAAAGAAAAATTAGACAACTTGGACTTATTAAATTTTTAAAAAATTGATGCAGCAAAACCACACTACCAACAGAGTAAAAAGGCAACCCACACAGTATTAGAAAATATTTACAAATCATATATCTGATAGGGGATTAATTTCTAGAACAGAGAATTAAATCTCAACAACGAAAACCAAATAACTCAGTTCAAAACTGGGTAAAGAACTTGAAAAGATATTTATCTAAAGAAAA